CGGCGGGCGTCGGGACCCAGACTGACACTCCCAGGAGAGGTGGCTCTCTGCCAGCATCACACCCCAACCCTGGCTGCCCCTCAAAATGATGCTTCAGGTGAGAAAAGAAAACCCCATAAATCAGTGCCCACACCAGAGCTCAGCACTTATGGAGCAGACCTTTCTTTTAAAAAACAGCTTTCCCAGACAACTGCTCAGGAGACTGATAGCCACCAGGAAGTCCAGCACCTTGTGATGCACTTCCCCCGGTTTGGGGTCTGCTGAGTGGCCAGGGGCTGCCCCGGTCTCTGCTGGGCAAGTGGGCAACACAGATCACAGAGGAAACTGGAGTTTATGGAAACCTGATAAACCTCCAGCTCCAAGAGGTCCATCTCTAACAGCACCATTATCCAGCCAGGGAGAGGTCAGGGAACTCATCCAAGCTCAGAGAACGTGGCAGTAGGTCCCCACGGCAGCTCCTGCAGGCTTGGCCCTGAGCCCCCCGCAGTTCCCACTCCACCACTGGTTCAGGGCTCTCCTTTAACACTCTGAGGACCTTCCCTCCATCCCGGATGCAGGCAGGCAGCTCCCTCTCCTGTGAACGTGGCAAGGAGAGATCATCAGGTTGCAGACACAGGGCGGAAAGAGCAAGCTCAGGCACCAGGACAATTTTCCACCCAACAGGAAACCTTTCGGGTCAGAGCAAAGGGGACGATGGGTTTCAAAAACCAGAAACCCGAACAGTGTTCCTGGAAGCCAACGGTGCTTCCTCCTGAGGGGCAGGAGCAGGGGGCTCTGCCGGGCAATGCTTGGTCTGGAGGCGTTGCTCAGGAAACAAAACAGTTGAGCGAGGAGAGACAAACCACCGTGGGATGAGCGCTGGCCCCTGCACAGGATAAGCCCGTGCGTTGCTGGAGCCCCTCAGGCCTGGGTGTAGCCTCGAGTTGTCATCACCAGCACTAAGAAATGACAAACCAGAAATGACCGGGCTGGAGTAGGTGCTAATGAGGACAACTGGAACAAGATTAAAGTTTTCTGCATGATGCAAAACACGAGAATCTCACCCCAGGGAGACTGGTCCTGCAGACAGGCCCTGCCCCTCACCCAGTGCCCCATCCCAGCAACGCGGGGTGGCCTGTGCTGCCCCAGTGACCACCACTCCAAGAGGACAGCCAGGAACAGCTGCACTGAAATACCTTCCCTTTATCTCCAAAGTGACACAAGCTGAGGGTTCTTTTTCAGCTAAAGATGAAAAGGAGTAAAAATAAGCTCGAGTCCAGAGGAAATAAATACAAAAGGCAACATGTTGTATAATAGGTGAGTTTCCAGCTCATTACAGGATATCGGCCATCAAACACCAGATCCCATCCAAGAGCTGGCAAAATGTGTTTATATTTCTGGTGATTACATTGTTCACTTAGCACCATATTCAAACACCAAAAGAAGTGTTTAAAAGAGTAAGATAAGATCTAAATTAAGCCTGTCTGGAAGACAACAGAGTTTAGGATGTCTAGGATGCCGAAAACAACACCAGGAAGAGGCTTCTGTGGGGCAGGCGCTGGAGTGGGGAGGTGGGAACTGGGAACCTGGTGTGGGGACCAGGGCTGGGGCCAGGCAGCCCCATCCCAGCTCTCACAAACCCACCAGCATCGAGAGAGATGAGGACAGAGAACTTCAACACAACAGGAAAGCAGCAGTTTAATAAATAATCCATCGGAGGGAGAGATTAGCCAGTTCTGAACACAGCCCGAACTGAAATAAACACATTTCATCATTAGCTTAAAAAAGAGATACAGAAACACACTCAATAGTAAACTCTGAGCGCGGAGGTGCTGCCGTTCTTCAGTGAACGTGGGCTGCCACGTGCCCACACTTCTTAGAGACAATCAAAGGTGTCAGCGGCCATTGAAGTGCAGAGAAAAGAATAAAAAACAGAGAAGTAAAAAGTTACTGTTTGGTAGAAGTAATGGCAAAAGAGAAAGCAAGGGTTTAACACGGGGTTTTTAATGTGACAAGGTCAGTTTAAACTCACTTGAACTGCTGCCATTAGTAGTGGAACTGCAGAAGAGGGGCAGTTAGGCCAATTTTTGCTGTATGTTTGGGGCATTGCTCTTCCCCACCTGCATAAGTCACTGCAGACAAACTCTGGGAGCAGCGATGTTAAACAGCCAGGCTCAGGCACCACCCAGCAGATCAAGGGAATTTTAAGAAAAGGCGCCTTTAAAAAGTTGCATTTTCACATATAGTAACAAAAATTGGCAAAACTATCTGAGTGCTCCGTACAGATTTTCCAGTCTCCACGAGGGACGCTGCAGAATTACCAGCCCTTCAGAATGAGACATTCTTCATTCAGGTCTGGGCATTCCAGCTCCGTTACCGCTTGGCCCAAGTCCTCCTCTGTCACTTAAAGGCAGAATGGTGGGTGGGTCACATCCCTGCGCTGACGGGGATGGGGCTTACCTGGGGCTGGGCCCCTCCTGAACCCCGTGAGAACT